GAATCACTGATAAGATACTGATACATTTCTTCACTTCATACGGAACCAAAAAAAGAGTCAGATCAAAGTTTATATTTGACAAAACGGAAATTTTATACAAACAAATAAAAAACATAGTGAAATGAATTTCTCAAATATGGAAATAACCATTGGTTTAAATGAATACAAGCTAACTATCATTTATTTGAATTCTTCCGCACGTCAGTGATAACAAGTCTGTCAAGAAGTGATATAAAAACAATGACATTTCCAAGACATAATTGATATTTTGCTTTGAAAAGATTCATCGTAAGTTCTACGCAAGTTCTCCGGTCAACATGACAACGTGCTAATTTTGTAGTTACCACGCGCTTTTTGTCCTTTTTTGCAGCGATCTTGATCACCTTTGGTAAGAAAATTGAATTTAATGAGGTCTTCTACACACCCACTTAATTCCATCATAAGCTTCTTCGAGAGTACTATTTTGTAATCATCAGAAAATTCGTTTCATTTACAAACCTAATGAATAAAAGCGGCTTTTAGCCGCAGCAGAAGGTTTGCCAAAAATGGGTTAGACAGATAGAAGCATTATAACTTAAAAGCAAAGTGAATGAAAATAGTATTTCGGTTGTAGAAAACAAAGCATTAAAAAAATCGCGGGAAGATGAAAATATCAAAAAAAATGATAAGGCTCAATCAGAAGAGTAAACGAATCTCATCATCCCCTCGTGTCCCGTATCAATGAATGAAATAAATTGTAACAGTTGGATAATGGGCTTCTCACGCATGTATACAATTTAATTGTATATCGATAATCCGCTTCATCGAAAAATTCAATAAGTAATTGTTTCCAACTACTCTCCCGTCTCGAGAGATGGCTCGATATAATCAGTTCGTTTTCTTTAGTTCAAATTATTTGCTTGTTGTTTCAGCAATGATTTGAGTCATTTGAAACACTGCAAATATCATACAGCAAGATTGCAACGTCGTTTGTCCTGATTTTTTTCCAATGCCTTATTGACAGTTGCAGGTTGAATGAATTAGCTGGAAGTTTTTAAGTCTTAAACTTTGTGCACTTATAAGTTTAAGACTTAAAATCCAGTCCATTTTATTTATATTGATATAATTCTTTGTCCTCAAGCTTCATTCTGCGTTCTGAAGGAATTTGACGAATGTGACAAATCCAAAAATTAATGTATGATTTTGAATATCATCAACAGCATTAGAAATACGTAATAAGTCCTTTACTATTTCTGTGCAATAGAATTGGAAAATGAGATTACAGAGTTTAGCATTCTGAACAAAGTACCTTTTACCCTTCTAATTTGCTGTTTGGAGAAATATCAAATTTTAGAATGCTAATTAAATATTTTGCTTCAGCTATTTTAGTAAATCGTTTTCAAGGAATACTTCTTGTTCTGCCTTTGTCTTAAGCCTTTAGAATGGTTTTAAGCTAACCTTGCATACAGAAAGAGCTATTTTCCTAGCTAGAGCTATCTGATTGAGTTTATATTTCGTTCACCGTAACCGCCTTCTTCATGACTTAATTTACCAACAAAATTTTTTTAAGCTCTAAAGAACAACGTTGCGTTTCAGCTGATCAAAAACTATCTGTTGTAATGAAGTTCTTGATGCAAATGATTCATCAAAAATTTTTTCATCCTCAAAAAATCCTTCATCCAAGTTTACATCGTATTCCTCAGAAGGGATTTCAATCCAAAAGTTCATTTACTTTTTACTATGTAGTACCTTTTATTATGCTTACTTTTTTCAAAAAAAAACATTCACGAAATTTTGCAAAAGAATTTTTCTCATAAATACTAATGTTCATAGTTTACTGTTTCGTATAACTCCAATTAGACTAATTCAAGTCTTACCAGTCTGTACCTTTTTGCAATTAATAATAATAGACAGAACATTTATGCCAAACTTAAGCTAGCTACAGTTTTTTTTTTTTTTTTATTCCTTCAAATAACAGAAGCGCTAAGTTTAAATGCAAAATTTACATGTTGAACGAAAAAATTTTAAGCTTATGAGTGTCAAAGTTTAATACTTATGAATGCTAAAGCTTTGCACTTCATAAAGTATTTTTTTAAAAACTGACGAAAATATTAAAATGACACAAACTAGGCGATAAAAGATTAAACTGTAGCTGTATTCCTATATATCATGATAATGAACATCTATAGGTAACTTCTTAATTGGCACTTTGGTAGAAAAAAATGGAAATGAAATGACAACACAAAATGTAAAAATTGCTTTAATTACATTAATATCATCATAGTGTTATAATTTCAAGCTAAAAAAATAGTATGATAGGGAAGTAATGTTAGATTACTTATAACTAATCAATGCTATAGCAGCTGACATTTGCTACAAAGATTTTTGCATCAAAAAAATTTGCAATATAGCGACCAAATCATGCACATGCACATTCAGTAGACTCAATAATCTTGAAGTAATAGGGAAATTGGATTCATACATCAGTTTTTGAACTATATTGTTGTCAATCGCTGGTTTGTCACATTAAGTCAATTTTTCAACCATATTTCTGTCAACCACTCAATTAACGTATCAAGTTATTTTTTTTTAAAAATGCATGAATTTAAAAAAAAAGGAACTCTCGAATAATTCAAAAAAGACGAGGATTGAATTACAAGAAATGCTTGAAGCAACACTATAATGCATGTTCTATGTGCTATTTTGTGCAATTTTATTGTCTAATAAATTGTAATTAAATTATCGGAAAGAAAAACTAGACACTATAAACTCTCCAAAAATTCGCAGTTTAACTTCCAGTGCTTCTTAATATTGATGAAAGTCGAATGACAAATTATCATTTATTCATAAACATTGTTGCTTGAGTAAAGTTTTCAAATAAGAGAAAACATTTCTAAACTATTGATTTATCCAAAGATAATAATAATAATAGTAAAAATAATATCCGAAATGACTGATTTTATACTTTTCAGCTATTACTATCATCAAACATTTCATGGATAGAAAATCATTCTCTGTAATTAATTTTTACGTCCTTAATTAGAATTAGAGATAATTAAATCCGAAATTTTTGAAAAATTCACAGTTGATGCTGAAATAAATCAGCATGTTTGTTATGAAAGTGCAAATGGAGCACGATAGATTGCTATCCTTGAAATGTATAAAATGCAGTAGTAGCAACAGTACACTTTTTTAAGCAATGTCCTTTTAATTTGACGGAAGGTAAACCGCATTAAAAGCTGTTAGCTGTTCTAACAGCACTACCAATCTATCAGGAAGTTTGTTCTTCCTCATTTTCTTATGAACCCATTGTCCAATGACGCGTAAAACCAGAATAGAGGCGGCTGAGTGTACCACTGCTCGGTGAATTGCTTGCCAGATAAGCCTGAAAGGTGCACTCCGTATTACTGACATATTTACTGGAATCCGGATCCTAATCAAGATATGAATGCTTGTCGAGCTATTTCTTTGCACATCAAACAAATTCAATTAAGCTTGCACACTGCAAGTGGGTAATTCCAAGTTAATTCATCTGTAATTATCAACTTTTCCTTCTTTTTACGACTTCACGTTTTCGATACAAGAAATAATTTGTAAAATACATTGTCATTATGGCGAAGGTTAGAAACGCATTTTTAAGCTTACGTTAGCTTATTCAATGGGTTACATGAACATAAAAGAATGGTTTTAATACAAGAAGGATTGCTTTCGATGTTATCGTTTTAATTTCTCAACTTGGCAAAATGCATCGAAAAAAAAAAAACGAAGGAGTACACTTTTGAATAACTGCAACGAATTCCAAAATATAGAAGCAGAAGTACGAAAAAAATATGGTCAGCGTAACGAACAATCGAAAATACTCGAAGATACAAGTGGAGAATGGTGTGTCCGGGAACATGAACCTATCTAACTGGTATCCAATGACTTCTTCCTACGTACGACAAATTATCAGATGTACCCTGTTCAAAAATACGGATAGTTGTGAGTGTAGACAGAATAGGTTCCCATGCCACCACGGATCGATGAAGAAGAACTGGTGCGAAGCAGATCCATCTGTCTACAAGCTTGATCCAGTTTATCCGACAGGGTTTTGTATTTGGCTTTCATCTAAAAAAAATTTACAAGTTCCAGAAACGGCGATGCACATATATAACTTTGGGTAATTTCCAATTACAACTGATATATTTAGCCAAGTGAACTAATGTTACTAATCTTTTTCAGGATGGATCAATTTAAAAAGTGATTTTTGACCATTACGTAACTATACCTAACAGCCATGACACGAATCTCAAATTCAGAACTTCTCATGAAGCACGGATGGAGCTCACCCTTTCCCTGGCAAGTCTTTCACGAGATAAACTCCTTTGTAATTCGGCAATTCTGTTCTGAAAACAATATTTTGCATTGTATTTTCTAGACGAAGCTTTAATATTATAAGAACATGTGGTAATTGTTACTGATAAGTTAGTTTGTTATATGTCAAGGAATTTCACGTAGATGATAACGCTTGTTAGCTGATAAAAATGATTATGACTAATACAGAAACATTGGAACAAATAGAATATTTTTACATGCCATCGATTTCACAATCTGCTAATTTCATTTTTGCAGGAAAGTATACCCCGATTACTCCCAATACAATTTTCGTATCTCGATGAAATGATTGGAACTGTAGGAGTGCTCTACATTCGGAAAGAAAGACGCTTGGAAACTCTTGAATCATTAAAATTAATTTGATTTCAACACCTAAATACAAAGTATTTAATTATGCTTTCATTCATTTCATATTGTTAATTGTTACACTAAAACTTACTAATATTAACAAATAACCATCAACAAACACACAATGCTAGTTGAGATGCAGGTTTGCTCTATCTACTACCAAATTACGTCAAAATTTTATTATGTCTACTATTCAAAGATTAGTTCAAATGTTCGAAAATTTTAAGAATTTTGTGCCGAAACACTTCACAATCCTTTTATCCTATCCATTGCTGCTACGTTTTACAATATGGTAATTCCTGTGGAAGTGGTCAAATTATTTGGTCAGTTATCGTCTTTCTTTTCAAGTTCTGTTGAATAAAAAATTCTGGGAATTTTAATTTTTGATAAATAAAGGGAAGATCAGGCAGCATTTTCTCAATTATCTTAGTTTTAGCAAGTAAACAAAAGCATTGGACGTTAGAGGCTCACCTCGTACAAGTTGTGAGACACTGATATCGGGTTATAGATGTATGGATTAGTATAAAGAACTGAATGGCGTAACGGACTGTTGTATGCCTACAAGCAGCACTACTATGAAAAATGTGATTTTTATTTCGAAAAAATAATCTATAAAAAAAAACACTTAAATTTGACCTATTTCAACTTCAAGTACGTAAAGAGTTATAATACGAAATCAGCAGAAATGTTTCAAATACATCATATTGTAAATTCAAAATTCTCTAACGACACTTAAATTGTTTTCTTCTTCAAGAATTCATTGGAAATTCCGATTTAAACATGAAAGTAAAACAGATTAAATTGAAAGAGATAAAGGGAAAAAGGTGAATCAGATTAAAGGTCCAGAAGTTTTATCTTACTTCATCCTGGAAAATGACCTTGTGAAAAAATAAGTACATAATAGAAATCTCCTGGAAGTGAAGTCTCTTTTTAGGAATCTCTTAGAAGAGAAGGAAGTCAAAATCAAAGATACAGAAATAGACAGCCACTGTTGATAACAAAACATAGATAAAAATCGTTTTAAGCAACAAACCCTGTATCCATTGACAGGAGTATATTCTTGCGGCAAATAAGCTCGTGACGGTGAACGATACTTATCGTAAGTACTTGGGAACACGTATTCTACGTTACGATTCAAATCGCGTACATAGCTATCCACTCGCGATAAACGTTCTGTGTCGTAGAACATATCGACATTCGAACGTGAACTAGAAACAAATAATCTTTCTTTTTTTTTTTTTTTTGAAACGAACCATTTTGATTGGCAACCTAAATTTGGTAACAACTATAGAAGTACTGCTTTCGCCAGCCTCTAATTCAGCTGAAGGAAGCAAACCTTGCTCGGCTTAATCCACCAAGAGTTGACAAGCGACTTGAGCTTCTTGCAAGTTCATATTGTTTCTGTCTGTTATATTCCATGAAGGAAATAAATGAGCCAGAACGTGATGAAGATCGCCCTACAGATGACAACGGTGGTGTCGAATAGTCACGAGTTCGAAGTGGTGGTGTCGCATAATTCGAAGTATAACTAAATTCCATTAACAGTAATTTCATTTCAACACCAGAACCAAAATTTTAAGCAAGTTTTGGTTTATGATATAATTATTTTGGTAAACAATATGATAGCAACATAAATTTCTTTTGGGAAATGACGCTGTGGTGGCAAACGCGATCACATGAAGCGTGCAGTTCTAATAAGATCGGAATATGCGATGATAGTAAATAACTGGGTAGTCGCAATCTTTGTAATTTTTGTAGCCTAGAAAATGAAAGTACCGGTAATAATTGCTGGTTGAACGTTTTGAACGGAGCGCATTTCTTAACTCTCGAGAACGACTACGCGAACGTTCAAGAAGACGATTAGCTGAGTATAAACTGCTTGAAAATGGACCTAAAATTTGAGTTGCACTATCCATACATGCACAAGTAGTAGTCTAAATGCGGAATATATTTATGATTCATAATGTATCCATTAATCTCAATAATATCATTTTTGTTTTCTAGAATTAAGCAAGTCCCATAAGATCATTCTCATTGATTGATTGATGTGTAAAGAATTTATTGATTGGCAGTATGGATGTCACTGAAGTCTATTGGACTGCAAGTTAAAGAATTTAAAACAACCATTTAGAAATGTGTCCGCAAATTCTAGCAAAGTTTTAATTTTCACACCATAATATGCAACAAAGTCTTTCCCAACCGGCGAAAAGATGAAAATATTTTAATTTTCTATTCATAATATTGATTCCAGATTACTTATCTGAACGTTATAAATTCAAAAATAATCATCATTTTATGAAATATTAATCGTTCTCGAAAATTATTACATTTCCAAATATCAGGTTTTAGTTGTATGTTGTTTACAGATAAATGACTTATTAAATATGAGGAGAAATATTAAAAACAGACCCGAACTGACAATATCATCAAATATCGAAGTATACATAGATGGAAGCTTATAAGTTGAAACGGCAGTGTAATCGTTCCGATATTTTTGCGCGGCATTTTGTACCCATGGACTGATTGGTGAGTACGCTGCTTTCTCGACTGGAGTGTAAGATGAAAATGATAAATAACTTGGCATACGCGGAGGAGGACCTCTTTGTCGATGTGTGTCCTGATGAGACGTTTCTGGATGAAAATTTTAAACGGAAATCCTAACATATCTTAAGATAACTATTTGACTATTTGAAGTGACGTCTAACAACCAGATGGGAGCATTACTCAGCCTTTCAAATATCTACAGGATTTTCATAGCTCAACTCGAATATCATCTTAACCTGGAAAAGATTCTATGTTTTAACAACCGATGACAAAAAGCAATCATTTTAGTTGGTAAACTTTCGTGAAATATATTTGTGATAGGCATGAAAGTTTAAAATGAAACAAATCACCCAACTCAATGGGATAAAATTGAAGTCAGACAAATTAAAATCAGTTCAAGATCATTAAAATCATTAAGATTACATCAAATTGTTTAAAATATTAGAATTGACTACATACTTGATCATATGACCTGCATGTACTTCCGCGACTTGCCTCTCGTGTCACAGGTGATGGTGATCGCTCCTGACGTTTTCTACTCGGTGATGGTGAACGCATGCGTGGAGGAGATGAAATGATTTGTCTGGTTGGTGGAGGAGATTCTCGCTGCAATTTAGATCTATGAAATTTGAACTTTTTCTCTATATGAGGCTTTTCCAAAGCTTATGTTGATGCATGCACACAAACATTGCATTGCTACCAGTTTTAATAACTTTAATCGTTCTAAAAGAGTTATCTTACCTAATTCCGTTATTATTGCTAAAAACTTACTTCATCAACGGCATTATATTTCGCAGCTTCATTCTCTTTTTCCGCCTCAGATACTCTTTTCACATCATCTTTGACATCTTCTGCAGTAGCGTCTTCAAAGGGAACCTATAATACACTTGTACATGCATATTTATCAAGTTCAAGTTTCTTCCAACAAAATGCACTACATTCTTATCAGTCAGTTCATAAATATCATTCCAAAGCAAACCTCATCATTCAATCCTTCAGTTGGTACTTCGGCAATAGTTTCAGCTTCTCCTACTTCAATTACAGCTTTCTTGGTACCTGGTCCAGGCTCTGCGATCGGTTCAAGCTTAGATTCAACTTTTGATTCAGTTACTTCAGTACTACAATATGTACTAATAAACAAAGTATTGAAGCGTTCACTTTCCTCAATTAAAATTGCCATTATTCTTTGTTTGTAAAAGTAATATAAAGATAAGTAAGTAATTAGGAAAGAAATAAAATAAGCACAAAGTGGCAGAAACATGCGAAAGCTTCAATAAACTGATATTGGATAATGAATATTTTATCCAGTTATTGTACTTACCACGCTCTTTCACGCGGTAGATAAATCATTTTTTAGGTGAGCAGGAATTACTAGAGGGCAAAATTTCGAAAATTTTCAACAAATTTTGAATTTCAAAAAGCAATTATTGAGAACTGGCTTGGAAAGCGAAATTAAGCTGTAATCAAGAATTACATTTTGAAATTTAAGATTTTATGTTTTGCAAAAACAAATCAAGAAATGAAAGATGCAAACTTGGCTATTTTTGTCTTTTCCGCTCTAACTGATTGTGGCGCTCCTGCTGGCTCAGGGCTTAATTCCTTTACTTCACTATTTTCCTCTTCGACACTCGTCATTTTTGAAGTCTTCCGTGACGGGGCTTTTTCTTCCATCTCTAAGGATATTTTTCGAGTGGGAACTCTTTCCTGCGTTGCGGATGATTTCCTGGAGGCGACTTTTTCTTCCTCGACAGCTGATGTTTTCCGCGATGAAACTTTTTCTTCGGTTTCTGATGTTTTTCTAGATAGTGTTTTCGCTTCTTGAACTGTTGATGATTTTCTTGATGACACCTTCTTTTCCTTAACTTCTGAAGTTTTTCTAGACTGAGGTTTCTCATCTTCAGTAACGGATGTTTCTCGAGATAGAACTTTTCCTTCCACGGTCGAGACTTTTCTTGAAGGTAGTTCTTCCCCCATTGCTGATGTTTTACGTGAAGGACTTTTTCCTTCGATAGTAGATTTTCTTGACAAAACCTTATCCTCAGTGATAGATTTTTTAGAAAAGGGTTTCTCCTCATCGAAATTAAACTCCTGATTTGCAATTAGTGGCGTCACCATCGGTCCATCATTTGCTTCTTCGAATTTTAAGCTTGATGTACGAGAGCTCAAATAAAATCACATCGCAAAATAAGCGATCAAATTATCAAACTAATGCAATTAGTGTATGTATAAAGAAATTTTTTAGGACGAAGATGAAAAACGGAAACTTTCATGCGATATTTGTTCAAAATGAAATAAATGAAACCTGCAGATGGGAAATTCGTAAGCTAACATTCAATTAAGCATTAAAACATTTGCGATAGGATGATAAATATAGGAGAGTTAAGCAGAGATGATGATTGAGAGACCTATTATGAAATGTACCATTGACCTACCTGTGGATCGTTTCTGATTTTTCTTCCGGTGGTAGAGCTGATGCAAAACTGTTGCCTTCTGAAATTGGAATAATTTTTATTAAAACATTTTATCTTTATCTCGCATCGATTTGAATTATATCCGGGACATGTTCCGTGTTGCTTCCATCCCCTCTTCATTTGAGAAATGCCAATGCAACAAATCACACAGTTCGAAAAACATGCCATACTCATGCGTAAATTCTATAAAGAATTAATAAGACATCTTCAACATAAGCATATGGTCTTTATCACAAGGCTTATCACTCATCTCTGGCTTCATTGGCAATACCAGAAAAAGAGCAACATTCATTCATACATGCAAATAAATATAAGGCATATTAAAAATAAGCAATGCACACTTTGTCCCGATCCATGCAGCTTTTCTTCACAAATAATTCTAATGAAAGAACTGAAAACGAATTGTACCGCCCATGATTTCACGATAAAACGATAAGAATTCGGAAGTGAACAGTCCTGAAAGGAATTTCGTGCAATTTAATTCAATCTAACGGCTACAAATTGCACGCATAATTAAAGAACGATCACACAAATTTCATGCTAATCAAGAGCGTTAGCAGGATAGTTTTCCTACATTCTTTTGTGAAATTCGAATTTTGTACTGGTGAAGTTATCAAAGATATTCCAGTTGAAATTATCTGATTTCCCTTGTAGACGGAGAAACGCTAAAAATTTATTTTGAGTTTTTAATGATCTGTTCTTCAAACTGCGATTTGAACAATTGTTAAACCACGGGAGGAAATAATCCCTTAAAAATTGAATAGGTTTAGAGGACATTACGCATTGAAGTATAAGAAATGGTGCCACGAAAAGTCTAATCACCGAGCCGATAGCATGGGATAGTCCAATAGTTAGCATCTCACGCCATTAGTCACATTCCCGTTTGACTCGATTCAAAATATACGCCACAAAACAGGTTGTAGCACATATGCAACGTTAACAAATTTTCTTTTGGACATTGTCACCATTATTCTCACCCGCTTCGTTATCCGAAACTTTAGACTGCTGCTCTTCGTTCAAAAGTTCTATATTATCGGACTCATTTCGTTCGTTATCGAGGTCTTCTTTTTTTGTCTCTTCTGCTCCTGCTCCTGACATTTCGTCTACAACGGCTTCAGATTCATTCGTAGCCAAGCTCTGCAATTTATTTAAGTTAATTTTCATTTATTGAAAGATTTAATTTGTTTTCCATTGTTAAAGGCCTGCCAATCTTTTTCACTTTATATGCGGAAAACTTGGACATATAACACACAAAATTTTTTCCTTCCTCAAAACTTTGTGTTTACGAGACAAAATGTATTTTAGTTAGCTTCGTTTAATAATAAGCATTAATAAAGCCGTAGTATATTTGAAGAATACAATATTAAAGAGAAATTAGTATTCCATGGCATAATTATGAAAATCTTATGAATTTACTTTATTAATGGAAGGTTAATTTGTGAGACAAAAAGAGGTAACGATTGAGGTACAACAGACTTTGCACATGCAGAAGCACCTGAAACACTGATTCAAAATGCCTTATTCAATAGTTTATGACAAAAGCTGTTGCTAAAATACAGTGAAGCATTAAGTTAGATGCCAGAAGCACGTCACTTTGCACAATTATGGATTCTGTGCAATGATACCTGCTCCATGATAACCTCTTGTATAACTTCAGTAATTCCGAGAGGTTCCGTATGCTTTAGTTCCTGCTCAGCTTGTCCCACTTCTAATTGAGCTTCTCCCACGTCTTCAATTTCTAGTTTCTTAGGTTTTGCTTCGGAAACAGCTGAATTCTGTTCTGTTGGCAACTCCTTAGTTTCGTCGCCTTCTTTAGATGCTTCAGCATCAACAGCTGTTACCTCTTCTGCGAGTGCTTCTTCTTTTTCTTGCACTGCTTCAGTTTCATTAACTTCTTGACGTGCTTCAAATTCAGGATCTATAGCTGATCTTTCTTCCTCTGATAGTGCCTCTGCCTCCGTAGAGGGAGCAAGTACCATACTACTAGTTTCTGATTCGATTGATGGTTTGACTTCTTGTTCTGCAAGTGCCGATATTTCTACGACTTGCTGAAAACAAGATCATAATGCAACATGCAGTTCACTTCAAATTTATAGTAGCATCTTCAAATACCGCTTCAGCTTTCATTCTTTCTCTACCCCCCCCAAAAAAAAAAAAAATAAGACCAGAGATTCCCAGTAATTAATCCCAGTAGTAAAGTAACTATCAACACATTGTTCAGACATGCCTTCTCCATTTTAGCTGTATGAACCGAAACCCAAACTTCAATTTGAAGCATTTCATTGCCTTTTTTTATAAAGAGAAACGTTATCTCCCTTCAATGAATGACTGGTCAAGAAATAATATAAAAAAAAAAAAAAGAAAAAAGGAGATTCAATAATTTTTTTTTATAAAATAAATTGATATCTCCAGCAATTTTTTTCGAACTTCACGTTAGACTTTTTAGATGAAATTAAGAAGTGTTTAGGATGTTCTTGGAATTTATCAGAGTTGTTTTGTAGTTAGCAATTGGCTATTACGAAAGACAAATACTTCTTGAGAAAGTTCTCAACATCGTTTTTAATGTTGATGAGATCAGCGAACATGATTATTCCAAACTGTTCAGTCATAAGCAAGTTTCCGACTCTCGGAACTTGCTTATTTTATTAATCTCGTGTTCTTCTGAGCAAAAGAAAATGACAACCAGATGGGAGGAATACTGTTAGCAATAAAAGAAATGATCGATAGGTGGACAGAAGATAGAAAAAAAAGCCAATACAGGCATCAGCATTTTTCTATGGGAATTTGTATTAAAAATGAGTGATAAGTTAAAATATCAGTTATTTGAATCCTTTCGTAACTTTTCATCCAACTAAGATAGATGTTATCATAGTTAACAGTTTCGAAAAACTACATGTACCAAATTACTTCGCAAAAAAGTGAAAGGAATGACATCTCAGGAGCATGCGCGTGTGATTTAAAAAAACAAAAACAAATTTAAAAAAGCTATTCTGCAAGGTTCTACCAGACACAACAGTAAGAAATGAATTTTGAAATTTTGTAAGATATCGATTTGCAAGTATTTTGCTGTTATCCACATTTGATTTTGGTGATAGATAATATGGGGTGGGGTTTGAAGACGACATTGAACACTGATACTAATATTTTTTGTTCCCAAATAACAATCGATATGCAAAAAATAGGCATGTAAATGTCGAGCTGATGGTGTCATTATTAAGAAACCATAAGCTACAACGAAAAACAATGATAATAATGCATCTTCTTGACTGTTGAAGTTTGGGGAATAAGAAAAAAATGAGTGATAACAGAAAAAAGTGGTCGGGAACAGAGAAAAAGTTGATACCTCTTCGCTGGTTGGAAGTTCTTCAATACTATCCATCGAAGTAGCCATCACGTCTGCGTTATCCGTACCAGTTATGTCAGGTACCTGCAACGACATGAGACAAAATATGAGCTACCGAAATCTTTGATGAGAAAGAAAAAGGATAATCGTGCCGATAGATCTTAATTTCATTTAATTTTTTTTTATAACAAATAGAATTCAGTTGAATAGTCATCCATTACACAAACTGATGTTTCTTTGCAACTATCAAATTATGAGTTATAAAAATTTCGGAAAAAAATTGTGTACTTGCAGGTGATACTTTAAAAAAATATTTGTTTGAAATCATATTAAAATTTTTTTCAAATCTTGTCCATTTTTGTGTTTACATAGAGCATTCTATGCAAAGATTATTTCAGTTGCAACTTCGATTTACTCGCTATACTACACAACAAATATTTTTTGAAGACAAAGTTTATACTACAAAGTAAAGAAACGATAACTATTCACTTATACATTTGATTCGAAATGATAAATAAAGAGAGTTGAGAAAAATTTGTCAGCGTAACAAAATCAAGTTTTTGGCTAATGTAGCATTGCAGAGTGATGACATTTTGCTTAAAACACGGTAGTTGTTTGTTGCATATTACTTATCCTATCGATAGATCTCAGAGATCAACGTATGTTCATCTTTCATTATATTTCTTATATGAGTAATCTCAAGACTGGTAATTCGGAAATATCATTTAAAGAAAAGAAATTCCAGATCAATAACCAGTAAACCATATGCTTCAAAAATTGCTGATTCTTAACGAAACAAACAATGATTGCTTACTGATTATGATTAATGAAAACATTGTCTGAAAAAATAATAATTGACCTTTAATTTTCAGGAAAATCTATTTTTAGTTCTGTTAAAATTGTCTCATACAATATATTAACTCGTTAATGCCTGTCTGAGACTATTCCCGTAGTTTTTCGTAAATGCAAAAATGAGGAAGAGACATAGAAATCAAACAATGAAAAATATTGATGAAGTAATGAGATTCGATAACACACAAAAATAAACTTGGTGAAAATATTACGTAATACAATCTATGCAATGAGCAACGGGATATCTCAACCTTATGAACTTATATGAAAGTTTTGATAAGTAGTTATAAATATATCACCTTAGATGAAAGGGAGATTTCAATCAAATTCAAGGCCTAAACCTCTGAATATAAATGCTAAAAATTGCTTATCATTGTTCAATGCTTTTTTTTTCCATTCCGTGGTACGCCTTTAGAGCAAACTAGAAATCCTGATTTATAACACTAAATAAAAGTTTAAATAAAACTTTGAAGTTATAAAGTGATATAAATTTGTCAATCGTGCAACTTTTATTTGACATTTTACCTTGAATTGGGAAAATACGAATTGAAGAGTATCAAGTAAGGAGACAACTTGATAAAGAAGGTATTCATATCAGTTAGTCAGCTGAAACTAGACCCTTTCAATTGCTGATAATTGAGACAGAATTCGTTCAGCGATTTTCATGAAGTAGTTTCCTTTGGGGGTTCATACACGATTGCGTCTGGCTTAGGGGTGAGACAGTCTGTGGAAAAGTTGAAATATTGAATAATCAAGAAATCAGAGGATTTCGATAAATCGCTCTTACATAATGAATGGTGTGAAGAATATTTTGTTTACAACCTATCTAGTATTTAATTTAAAAGTATCAAGTATGCAAATCGGTTATGAAAACTGAGTTCTCGTGGGAAAATTAACACAAAATTACGAATAGTTTGTCGATAATGCTTAAAGTATTATTAAAATAAAATTTAAAAGAAAATTAGGAAACGGCGACGATAGCATAAGTAATACTAAGAACAAATGATTTCTAAAAAATAAAAAGTGATAAGAAATAGAAGTAATTGCCTAAAGATTGATCTTAACAAAATTTTGAAAGCTCGAAAGTGCAAGGTATCTTCACCACGCTGTACGAATTGATACTCTAACGAACCATTGAAATATTGTTTATGTATTTTGAAAATACTAATGAACTGCTTTAGTTTAGATTTACACATGTAGAGAGTAAAAGATATGCATAAAAATAAATTGCGAATATTTTTGACGTAAACGCTTCTCTTGTCATCCTTCTCAAGTCCATGCCAACTATTAAAAACTAAATAATATCCTATTCAAATTCTTTTAAGGTAAGACAACAATTTGAAATTTCGCTTCAAATTTTTGTTGTTAACCGCATGGAATCCACAAATACGTTGTATTCTACTTTCAATTGATTTTTTTTTCGAATCATAAATTTACCTATTGTTTATTTTAACGATATAATGATGCTAATAAATGAGTGATAAATAAAAAGAAGCCATCCATTGTAAAGATGGGTATCATAGAGAACATTTGGGAAGCAATGCTTTGAAATAAAAGTTAGCTAATGATCGTTTGTTGCTCGTATCATTATTTTTCTGAATGACGTATGAAGATGAACTATGGAAGTAATACCTGGTCTTCAGTTCTATCCTCAACTACTTGCTCTTCTACTGCTTCTTCTCCCATCATCTGTACTGGTTTTTCTTCCTCAATTCCTGCTTCATCTAGAATAGATTAAAAACAACAAAATTTTAAAAGAAATATCAAAAATCATAAAATGATCTAATAACCAGAAATGTTATCCTTAATTTTACAAAATCATAATTTAGACCTCTTATAGAAGATTTAGTAGCAGCCTGGTGCTGCATAACAAGAAAGAAATTCATGAAGTATTTTATAGTATCTTTCGGGCATTTCCGCCATGAGTAAGACTGAAAGACCATACCACATATTAAAAGCTAGTGGTTGGAAAAAAAATCTAATGGTTGGGGGGATTGAACTGAATTTTTTGGCTTATCATTTCTCATCGTACAATTTTTTTCAAATACCAGTACTGCTTGAAATAAAGTTTCAGGGTGAAAAAAGTTTAGGAAATGGTCATAGAATGATATAGCATTTATACTGATTTCATTACGGTCGAGGTCATCTTCAGCCTCGACCTTCGCGACAGCTTGCTCCATTGTTTCCGTAGCGTTTAGCTTATTAATTCCTTGTTGTTCTTCTGATGTCAGTCCCTCTTCCATCCCTTTAACCTAAATAGATTTTCTGCATGCACCTGAGTTCATCGTTTCTTTTCTGTTGCAGATTTTTCCTACTACTCTACCGCTTTCTTGTCATTCCCACTACATGACGCAAGCAAAACTATTGATAGAATTTCCAGAATTTCCAGAAGCTTTTACAATCTAATTAATCAGCCTGTCTAAGCAACCGCTTATTTACCCCAAACATTTCTTCACAACATAAACATAAATAACACATACCTCACTTTGCTCACCAGTTTTCATTTCATCCAAGACTGCTTCACTACCGATGCTACCAATAACGGTTACAACTTGAGAACTTTCAGTGTGCAATGGTTCCTCATTGAGACCAGCATTGTCATCCACAACCATAGTTATCGTTTCGTCCATGTTTGTACCATTTACTCTAGAATTATCTGTATATGGTTGACTGTCGCAATAGTTATATCTCTCCCCCAAACAACTATTGATACCAATAAACAGGGAGTTCAAGTGATTTCCTTCTTATTCAGATAAGTATTTGGAAGATCTAACTGATGCATGGAGAAATCCTAATACGCTTGTTCCTCACAATATATAAATCGCTATTCATTAAATTATTAAATCATTAAAAAAGTATCGTTGAAACGATAACTTACTGGACTGTCCTGTCATCTTCTAATTCATCCATTCCAACAGCAATTCAGTGTATTTGGCACTTTTAAACAATAGGAGCAACTACTTCCCCTTCTTTTTTCTAATATTCCTACAGGAGCTGAGACAATAGTAAAGCCTCTTTCCTCTGCAATTACATTACCTTTTCTTATAGGTTTTTCTTTTTTTTTTTTTTTAATATCAAAAATGCTTCATAATGTCAAGACAATGTGTACGGCAGTTATAAAGTATGCATTCGAGAGAAGTAATCTGCATCGGAAGACGATAAAGAGAAAAAAGAAGAAAGCATACTGTAGTTTAATTGCAAGGAAAGATAACTTTCAACAAGAAATTCAATAGTCATTTCGTTAAAGATTCATTTAACTGACTAGAAACAGTGATTTCTTTCTCCACAAACAGTAAATTTTCCTTCAATAAATGAGGAAATGAACATATTGTCTTCCCACAAGAAACGGAGCAACTACTTTTCCAATCAAAGCAATGAAATTGTTCGTCCTAACTTTAACGAATTATGTTAAATATAATGATCAAAGAGATTTATTTCTTTGAGGTGATAAAGATAAGCAAAAAGAATTACTCACTTTTGCTATTCTATTCTTTTTCCTCCTATCTTTCCTTTGAAAGATAACTTGACGACTCCAAATTTCGAACTGCAAATTTTAACCTATCAATGATAATATTTTTCGATCATAAGGAAATGCAGCAATTCGGTACAAGTGATAGAATTCATTTTAGTTTTTCTACGAAGATTCTTTGGATGAAAATATTAATAATGTTTGAAGCTTATGATGCATCAAATGCTTTTTAATTTCTTGAAATATAATTATTAAATTACTACTGATTTTTTCAGGTTAGACTGACTGGATTTTTTTGATTGCCTAATGGAAATAATTAAGATATATGTAAGCTAGGCACATTAGCAAGAATAAGCATAGCATGATCTTTACCCATAATGGATCAATCCTTGTAATTTTAATACTTGAATGAATATGATAATAATTACACATTTATCGGTAATAAAACGTTCACAACCAGTTTTCAGATGAAAATTTTAAAAATGCAATGGTAAGATAATATAATATGGAATGGAAAAAATTTTTTTACTGTTGACTTAAGACGCATGAATTTTGCATGATTTTTTTCAAAAACGGGAAATTAATATAATTATGACCTCTTAAAGTTGAAAATTTGGTAAAAAAGCAAACATGGAAATGTTCAATTAAGAAGTTGGAGCAGTTAATGTAATGAAATATTGTTCAGCTAAATTAAATTCTGATATAAAAAAACAGTATTGCTTTGGAAGGGCAAGCTTTGGCACACATATCCATTCCATGTTTTTATCATATTATTGGTGATATAGCTTTCAGTTATTTTTTCGGATCTTTTGGATTCCATTAATATTCCACGCTATTTATCTTTCGACTCCTGGAATGATAGAGAAAAACGAATTTTCGTAAGTCCGGATTTTGTCTAATATTAATCTTGTATTTGGTATATAGAGATGTATTATGAGAAGAAAACATCAAAATCAAAAATAGAATGTGTTATTAGTTTAAAGAGCGAGGGCCATTAAGGTTATTCTTTGGTTCTTGGTTACCAGTTTCCTCTAATAAATCTCATAATCGTTGTATTCAATTAGTTTGGCTCTTAGGAATCTTGAAACCTTAAATTAGTTCGTTTTCCTTGAAATCTTGCTACTCTCATTATCATCATCTTTGGTCTACAATGTACTAAGAACGTTTTAAAAAAACAGCGTCAAGGACGACCTGTAGGTTCGATGTTAAATGCATGAGAAAACTGTAGCATATAATTATGGAAGCGGTGGAAGCGATAAAAATGAGCGATCAGGAAATGTCAAAAATGAAAAGTTGGAGACGAAGTGTGCAAGGAGAAGTGAGTGTACCCAAAGACTGATGATGAACGCTGAATATAGCGCCATTGATGTATTTGCTTCACTCCGGATGAAGCTCTTTTTTAAATCATTTTGAAAAGAACACAAAATCTCTATTAGCAGTAGTTTACAGGGTAGCAGGCAAGTCAAGCGATGCACAAACTATTTGATTTGAAGTGATGGCTATTGTGTTTATTCCAAAATTACAAAAATTTTTATCCCCCTACTAAATTTCCCTTCCACCTTTTTTTCCTACCTTTTCCTTCATCACCGTTGATATTATTTTGATTCCTAAATTAGCTGATTTCAAATTGGCTAGTTTCATCATGTTTATTACTTACACTTCCTAGGTAATTTGCAAATATCTGCGCAAAAATCATTTTTCTCTAATTATCCTGTAACTGTTTCGCACTGAACAAAAAAGAGTTTAGCCAAATGTACCAAAACATTCGTAATACATTGCTTGAAATATGAAAGGGTAAATTCCACCTATTTCCGCTTCTTGTTTCTTATCTTCCATGCATGCACACATTAGCGATCAATGAATTAATATTTAACTTCTATGAATGTAAAATTCTTGAATTCATCAGTATTCTTTACAATAAACAGAGGAGAACCAAATGATTTGTAGAAATAGGAAAAGTCCCACGAGTAACCTCATTCTGTTAGCTGTCGATTATTACCAATGCGAAAGTTCACGATGACATACTTTACGGATGAATTAGTATGAGAGACACTTCACAAAATGATGTAGAGGCCGTTCGAAACCATTAACCATCGGATGGATTAAGGAAGGAAATGAGATTCAGAAGATCTAAGAAAATTTTGATATGGTGCATAACGGTGAATGGTTTTGAACTTGAAAATAGTACTAAAGAAAGCGGAAATTTTCGAATTTTAATGAGTTTAATTTTTGATTTTAATTTTAATGAGCTTAATGAGGGAGTAAATGCTTAGGAGCAATTAGCCTGTGTTTCAGTGATAATTTTGGTGATAATGAAATTGAAGGATAAGAGAAAAGGCAAACTCTGAAGCTAAAGAATTTTATCCTGGGATCCGCTGGCAATAAGCCAGTAAGCTGCTGAGGACTGCGAGAACAGTATCGTTGTTGTTGTTGTTTGATATAATGGATGATATATTACTTCTTCAACAACAACATGACATCGGAAAGTATACATCAAGCCGAATCCGCCTGTTGCATGAATAAAAAAGTATTTTTAGAATAATTCATCACGCCATACCTTCTCATACATACACATATACACATATACACACATACATATGCAAACAAGTAAATTAATTTCCTTTTTTTCTTTGTGAAATTTTTTTAAAACAGATTAATGAAGAACCTATTTAATAATTGTGGACTTGTCCAATTGATAGTCAGTTAGAAAGTGCACTGAAATACCAGAGAAAATGAATGGGCGAGTTGACATCGATTTTGCATTGAATATTTTGAATCAATGATGGAATATTCTATT